GGAACTCAGGACCATCTTTGGGTAAGAGTAGCAGTGTAAACTACAATTTCTAAGGATTTGCAACTTGTCATTATATGGGCATTAATGGTGGAAAAGGGAGGATTAGCTTAACCTAGCTTGAGATATTTAAAGTGGTTCTAAAGGCTCAAGGTTTTTTTTACCTTCATGCATTCTATACATGAAGGTAAAAAACCTTCTGTGTGCAGCATCCCCCCCAGCCCCTCTAATACTCACCCCTCTCTCGATCCAGCGATATGCACTGGAGTTATCCCAGGACTGCCTCTTCTCATTGGCTGAGACAGATGCGGGAGCCATTGACTCCCACTGCTGTCAATCACAGCCAGTGAGCCAATGAGACAAGAGAGGGGGTGAATGCACACACAGAGCAGCGGGTGCCCCCAAAGCAAGCTGTTTGCTATGGGGGCACCTGACAGGAGGGAGGTTCCAGGAGAGCCTGCAGGGGTCCCAAGAAAAGGGAGATCCAGGCTGCTCTGTGCAAAACTACTGCACACAGCAGGTAAGTATAAACATGTATAAGCCTTTAGAATCACTTTAAACTTTATCATGCATAGCAACTCTGTGTCCTACACGACCCATTCTACTAATCCTCATGTGATAGAGTTTTTATACATATACAGTAGTGCTCAAAAGTTTGCATACCCTGGCAGAAATGAGAACATTTTGGCATTTATATAAAAAATATGACTGATCATGCAAAAAAACTCTGTATTTTATTTAAGGATAGTGATCATATGAAGCCATTTGTTATCTCATAGTTGTTTGGCTCCTTTTTAAATCCTAATGATAACAGAAATCACCCAAATGGCCATAATCAAAAGTTTACATACCTTGGAATGTTTATCCCTGGTACAGACACACAAGGCGACACACATGGGTTAAAATGGCAATTAAAGCTTAATTTCCCACATCTGTGACTTTTAAAATTGCAATTAGTGTTTATGTATAAATAGTCAGTGAATTTGCTTTTTCTCACATGGATGGACTGAGCAGGCTAGATACTGAGCCAAGGGGAGCAGAAAGGAACTGTCAAAAACCCTGCGTAACAAGGTAATGACATTTTCTAAAGATGGAAAAGGATATAAAAGATATCCAAAGCCTTTAATATGCCAGTCAGTACTGTTCACTCACTTATTAAGAAGTGGAAAGTTTGTGTATCTCTTAATGCAAACCAAGGTCAGATAGATCAAGAAAGATTGCAGCTACAACTGTAAAAAGAATTGTTTGGGATACAAAGAAAAACCCACAGGTAACCTTAGGGGAAATTCAGGCTGCTCTGAAAAAAAGACAGCGTTTTTTTTTTTTAAGGCGCATAATACGACAAGAAAAATGAGCTATATGGCCAAGTTGCCAGAAAGAAACCTTTATTGCCCCAATGCCACAAAAAAGCCCAGTGGGGTGTGTCAAGGTGTTGTTGGGCATATTGTAACCAGGATTTTTTTTAGCATTGGCACAGTAATTCTGCTATCATTATGATTTAAAAAAGAGCCAGACAACTATGTGATAATAAATGGCTTAATATGACCAGTTTTTTTGGCATGATCAGTCATTCTTCCAATATAATTGCCAAAGTTTCAGAATTTCTGCCAGGGTATGCAAACTTTTGATCACAATTGTATAAAAACTAATGGTATGCAAGAAAGCTGGCCAAAGATGGATCCAAATGTATCAAGTTCAGCAGGGACAGGACAAATTTTAATCCATCTATGCCATCTCCCATTCATTATCATTCAATCTAATGACCAATTTCTCACAAATGAACTTGTTGGAAAATTTGTATTTGATCAGTACTGCAGTGCTGGCTGATCCAAAGAAACTGAGCCATGTATGGCCAGCTTAACTCACCTTTCATCCTTTTTGGAACAGTCAAACAATGAAAGATGCGAACTGTTAGCTATAGAATGGAACACTATGCTAACTGGCACATGGTATACATGGGACATGGAGTTTTAAGAGATAGAAAGTTACCATCAAGTCTTTTTTTTTTCACCAGGTTGATTTAAACTCAACCTGGCAGGTGCAGAGAATATTTCTTTGTTAATATATTTATAATATATTTATAGTGTGACTGTAAAAACTCCAATAAAAAGAGACAAATTTGAAAGGTTTACTCATGTATCCTTGTTTTCTATAAACCAAAGCATTTTTGACAAGATACATATGATTTGTGCAGTCATTGTGTATGTTGTAACACCATTTATCAACTTGTCAGGCAGACCTGTCATTCTATTTCCTCCACACAAACTGAAACAGTGGGAAACAGCTGCTGGTGTTGGCAAACCGTTTTACATTCATGAAATCCTATTTTTCTAACAGTTCATTTGCATGCAAAACAGGTCTGCTCACCCCTCAGGATCTTGCAAGGATGGAAGTCTGGCTTTTAGGTCACTGGTACACAGATAAACATGGGTTTTCCCTTCTGTTTTGAGATGTATTAATCCAGATTTAATGGTGGTGGATTTTGTTTGAGAAATGCTTTCTCCCCATAGTTTATGTAAGTATTACTCTCTGGGCCCTTCATTTTCAGTAGAAGCTTTTCTAAATAGCATGTTCCTCATAGAATTACAGGTTCCAGCATTTCACAAAGGCATATCTTCTGTCATTATACAACTAAAAGTTCCATAGTCAATGCCAAGACAAGGCCATCCATTTACCATGGCAAAGATGCCAATCTGCACCCCCTTCCTCCCTAGAGCATGCCCAATCATCTTCTGCAGCTGGGATTCTACTCCGAAGTATGCAGAGATGTTATGGGACATTCTTGCTTTGTGTTCTCTGCCTCTGCGCTGACTGTGAATAATGTTGAATCAGCCTGAGGCAAAACAGAAAACAGGACAACAGGGAAATAACGAGAAATCACAGGGAACAATAGTACAAAATTTGAAGAAAAAAACACTATTGCACAATGTGCTGCTTACTATGGGAGATTATGGGAAACTGAAGAGGACATGGCAGTATTGAAGAAAGTATGGATCTATTGAATGGGAATGTAGTACAGAACGCAAGGTATACAATTAAATGGTGTGAAACATATACAATCTAAAACAGAGTGCACGGAAAGAGTCAGTAGGGAATATGCAACATAGGATGGTGAGGTATATAAAATGTACAGCTCTGACAGTGTAAAATAGGAAATGTATAGCATTTCACAGAAAGTGAGACAGTACAGAATAGGGAATTTACAGTACAGAGTACAGAAGGAAATGTGGAATATAAAATGTATAACAAGGTTTACTGAATATTAAAAATTCCAGAGAGATTCCTACATGGGTCAGTTTCCTACATACAGTATATGCAGGGATGGACTGACAACTCATGGGGCCCCCGGGCAATAGGGGATCATGGGGCCCCCGTGTCCTTGCCCAAACTCAAAAAAGCCTATGAAAAAGGTACCAGGGCATCTCATGGGGCCCCCTACTGACCCCGGGCCCTCGGGCAGTGCCCGAGTTTCCAAATGGTCAGTCCGCCCCTGAGTATATGCGATATACTGCAACTTTTTATCTGCTTGTTGCATCACCAAGCTCATTAGTCTTTTGTGGATGTCGACCAATCTCCAGTATTCACCACTAATCTCACAAGGGTCCACTTGCTACTCATAGAGTAAATGGTATGTAGTTTTACAGCTAATGCCCTTACACATTGTTCAAGTGACACATTGTCAGCAGTAGGTAAGCAAAAGTCAGAGGGAAGACTTCCTGAATGACTGCGAGCAAGCTTCTAAAAATGTTTTGGTATTTTTCTTTTACTGACTTCAAGACAAACAATGTACGTATTTACCATAAACAAAGAGCCAGCAGAGGAAAGCTTACACTACCTGCTTCCTCTGCCAGGTCTATTGGATGATGTCAGGAGGAAGCAAGTAGTGGAAGCCTTCCTTTATCAGGTTTTTGTTACATGTGACATCAGAGATCGGCCGTTACTTTTTTTGGTCAGCGGTAACAGAAGTCTGAATCAGAAATGATTTAACTACAGAGATGCCAGCTGTTCTTTGCCCCCCCTCCCCACAGCCCCAGGACTCATGCCTGCCTTGTCCATTAATCAAAAATATCCCATCATTCCAGTCCTAGATGCATATGCAGTTTGTATACATTGCAGAAGGTTATTCAGGTAAGCATGCATCTGGGATGATGAGGACAGGAAACTTTTGAGAAAAGTGCTAGGCAAGCAGAATATGTGTACTATATCTGAAAGTACACTCATCCTTTAACGCAACCTTGTATCTATATCAGAATGCCCTGAAAAAGACATATCCTTAAAAGATACACTATATTGCCAAACGTATTGGGACGCCTGCCTTTACATGCACATGAACTTTAATGGCATCCCAGTCTTAGTCCGTAGGGTAAAATATGGAGTTGTCCCACCCTTTGCGGCTATACCAGCTTCAACTCTTTTGGGAAGGCTGTTCACAATGTTTAGGAGCGTGTCAATGGGAATGTTTGACCATTCTTCCAGAAGCATATTTGTGAGGTAAGGCAATGATGTTGGATGAGAAGGCCTGGCTCGCAGTCTCCGCTCTAATTCATCCCAAAGGTGTTCTATTGGATTAAGGTCAGGACTCTGTGAAGGCCAGTCAAGTTCCTCTACCCCAAACTCGCTCATCCATATCTTTATGGACCTTGCTTTGCACATTGGTGCACAACCATGTTGGCACAGGAAGGGGCCATCCCCAAACTGTTCTCCCAAAGTTGGGAGCATGAAATTGTACAAAATGTCTTGGAATATGGACACCTTAAGAGTTCCCTTCACTGCAACTAAGGTTCCAAGCCCAACCCCTGACAAACAACCCCACACCATAATACCTCGTCCACCAAACTTCACACCGTTCTCCTGGCCACCACCGAACCCAGACAATTCAAACGATTTGCCAGAGAAGCGTGATTTGTCATTCCAGAGAACATGTCTCCACTGCGCTAGAGTCCAGTTGCAGGTGCTTTGCACCACTTCATCTGAAGCTTTACATTGCACATGGTGATGTAAGGCATGGATGCAGCTGCTTGGCCATGGAAACCCATTCCATGCACTGCTGTTGTGCTAATCTGAAGGCCACACAAAGTTTGGAGGTCTTTAGCTATTGACTCCGCAGACAGTTGCCGACTTCTGAGCACTGTACACTTCAACATACGCTGACCCCTCTCTGTCATTTTATATAGCCTACCACTTTGTGGCTGAGTTGCTGTTGTTCCCAGTTGCTTCCACTTTGTTATAATACCACTAACAGTTGAATATTTAGTAGCAAGGAAATCTCACTGATTGACATTGCACAGGTGTCAACTAGAGATGAGCGAATTATTCAAAAATTCGGTTCGGCTGATTCGCCGAATTTGCGGAATAAATTTGCTTCGAGCCGAATATATTCGCTGCGAATTTAACTTATAAAAAGGGTGTTTTCTAGGCTTCAGAGAGCCTTTATATTAGTGCAGAACACTGTACCTTTAATTTAAATGCCCTTGGAGTCTGCTGGGGAAGAGAAATAATACTGTCAGTCAGTATGACATGCAGATGAGTGCCGTCGATCTTAGAATCACCGCACACTTCACTCATTTGGGCAGTCACGGGGCCAAAACCAGAGTGTGGAGACACAGTGTGGCGGTGGAGGCAGCAGCAATGGGAGGCCATACAGCACCCTATGACAAAATGGAACCCACCAGCAGTGTGAGGAGACCTGAAAGTGGCACATGGCAGAGTGTGGCGATGGAGACAGCAGCAATGGGAGGCCGTACAGGGACCCATGACACACTCTGGACCTGGCAGCAGCATGAGGAGGCGGTACAGGGGCCCATGACAGATTACGGGCCTGGCAGCAGCATGAGGAGTCGGTACGGGGGCCCATGGCAGATTACGGGCCTGGCAGCAGCATGAGGAGGCGGTACAGGGGCCCATGGCAGAGTGGCGGAGCGTAAGCAGCTAAAATTGAAGGCCATACAGAGGCCTATGTTAAAAAGTCCCCCCAGCAGCAGCGTGGGGAGACGACTATCTAGAGTCCAATGGCAGAGTGGCGGAGCAGAAGCAGCTTCAATTGAAGGCCATACACAGGCCTAGGTTAAAAAGTCCCCCCAGCAGCAGTGTGGGGAGACGACTATCAAGAGTCCAATGGCTGAGTGGCGATCCGGGAAGTCAGCGTTGTGATTGCAGATGCAATGCAGAAATTTTATGAGGTAATGCCGTGGGTGCGAAGAAGATCATATACCGTTGTACTTCCATCCATAAGACGGAACAACCTGCGAACCGGGAGCTTTATTGCCCTGACCCGCTGAGCAGCTTCTGGGATACCCAAGAGTTTGGCTTCTGTGGGGAATATGGTTGAAAACTGAAACTTAAAGGCATGTTGACGGAAGGGCACCAGTGTCAGTGCTCCGGAGGGAATATAGCTTCAAAGCTGACACTTAAAGGTATATCGACCGTCAGAGACCACAGGAAGTGGAGCTTGCATCTTAAATCGACTGAATGTGGCAGACGTGAAACGTCTACGGGCCGTATATGAAACGGGTTGTTCCTCTTTCTGGAATAAGTGTTGGAAATGGCCACTCTTTTTGGTGTGGCGTTTTGTCTATTTAATTCCGATAACGGACTCTACTCCTCCGTGCAATCTAGTTACGAGACCCTGGGCAGGTCTGGGTCCAATTTGTGGTAGAGACTGGTTTTGTTCAGCCATGCTTGAGCGAGTAATAACAGGTCTGTGCTGCCCTTTGGTGTCTGGCTTAATGCGCACAACACTGAACACTGTGTCCCTGAGTAACGATTCTGTGTCCCTGAGTAACGATTCTGTGTCCCTGAGTAACGATTCTGTGGCCCTAAAGTCTCTGTGGCCCTAACTCTGTCCCTTAATACACACAGGTCTGTCTCTCTTGAATGACCGGAGGCTAATGGAGAATTCTAAGATGGCCGCGATTTATAGCTCCACCATTACACAGTGCTGGCTGGCTGCTGATTGGCTAATGCGATCACATGTCATGAATGCATTATGGGTCAGCGCGCCTTGTCTGCGCGCCTTCCCAGAGATCCCCGCCCCATCTTCTCTGTCCATTTTCTCCGTCGCCACACATGTCGCCGCCATTTTTGGGAAAATTCGATTCGTGCATCCGAAGTTTGCTAATCTTCGGATTCGTCGCGAATAGAATTTTTCCAAATCTTCGGAACGAATTCCACTTCGTCATGTTCGATTCGCTCATCTCTAGTGTCAACCTATCTCAGTACCAAGCTTGAATTCACTGAGCTCCTGAGAGGGACCCATTCTTTCACAAATGTTTGTCGAAGCAGTCTGCATGCCTAGGTGCTTGATTTTATACACCTGTGGTCATAGAGGTGATTGGAACAACTGAATACAATGATTTATAGGGGCGTTCCAATACGTTTGGCAATATAGTGTAAATGTAAAAAGCTACCTTTCCTGCCACCCATGTTTCTGAATGTGGTTCTGAGTCTGAGAAATCATCCCTTCCAGGTCAGATGGAAAACTGACACTTCCAAGAGTGTCAATATCTTGGAGAGCTTTCACTGGTTCCTACCTCTGTCCATTACAGGATAAAGTATAGCAATGATAGTTAAAGTAGCATTCAGTAGTATGATTATCAGGAAAGGTAATGATATACACTCATTGCACAGGTCTGCAAAAACATTTTTTTCAAGAGCTGTTTTGGTTATTCTACGTAATCTTTATGTTTTTTGGTGTGCTGAATCCAAAAATGACCTCCATTTTGTCATAGGACATCACGTTTCCTGACAATGTAGGTAACTATGTTAAATAAGGCAATACCTCAAAATAAATAGAAATAGACTTATAAAATTAAAGTTTTATTACAATTTTTTCATGAAAATCCTTTTTTGAACTGAAATGAGCTTACCTACACACACTAAACTCGATTCTTCTTCCCTGTGAGGCTTCTCTTGATGCATTTACGCTTGTGAGTAGCATCTGGAATGTCTCTCTGAAGCATCCAACAGTAGTATGCCATCATTGTAATGCTCCATTTTCCCTGGTATCTCCTTTCCATCTCTTTAATGTCTTGGTGAAATTGTTCACCTTGTTCCTCACTCACAGCTCCCAAATTTTCAGGAAAGTAGTCAAGGTGGGACTGGAGGAAATGCACTTTCAAGCTCATAAGGCAACCTAAAGCTTGAAATGCTTTCAGCATTCGTCCGACGATCTTTTTGTAGTGAGGATCTTTGTTATTACCTAAAAATGTCTGTACGACTTCTTTAAATGCAATCCACCCTTCTTTTTGAGGATCCGTCATGGTATTGACAAACTCTTGCTCAACTATAAGCCTTCTAATGTCTGGTCCGACGAACACACCTTCCTTCAATTTTGCCTTTCGATAGGCCTGGAAACCTGGTGACCAAGTATTTGAAGCATTCTCTATCTCTTGGAAGTGATTTTATGAATTGCTTCATCAATCCCAATGTTATGTGGAGAGGTGGTAGAAGAACTTTATGGGAAGGTACCAAAGTTTCTCGGAGGACATTTTTTTCACTGACGGTTAGCACCCTTGGCTGCCAAATCTTCTTGGTCCAGTGATTTTGTCGGTCTCGACTGTCTCATAGACACAGAAAACAAGGGTATTTGGTATCCCACCCACTGGATTCTTCAGGAAAGATTAACCCCTTCTACCATTAGAAGTACAGACTCAGGGCTAAGGCTTAGAAATACAGCATGCTGCTGAGTATCCCAGTAGTCAGACATGTCACTCAGAGCAGCACTTGTATTCACCCCCTTTGCAGGGGGGGAGGGACAGAGATTGTTTACCTGCAAAAAACAACAAAGGGCCAGAAGAGAACTAGGGAAATGAGGAAATAAATTTTTTTTTTCCCTAAAACTTGCTTAGCTTATGTATATATTGCTGACCATCATATTTACAGTGCTATATTTTTTTTTTACATAACTCGGACAACCCTTTTAAGGTTTTTGTTGGCATTTTATATCTTAAATGCACTTATGTGAATTAATTAATAGTAATTTGGACTTTACATTTGGTTAAAAAACCCATAATATAAAAAAAATACCAAAAATTAAAAAAATTTGATAAATTTGAAGACAATTTTGCATTTTGTGGCAAATCATGACGTCTAGGAGTTTTTTCAATGTTTTATTTGTTTTCAGCACACCAAAATACATGGAAATGAAAATAATCAAACAGCTTTTTAGTCGCAGACCTGTGTTACAGGCATGTCTTTGTTGAGACACTGTGATATTAACACATCCTTCCTGTATTTCTACTTGAAAATACATTTTAGAAGATGATTTAGAAATGTCTAGTAATGTTTTCTAAAAGGTGAGTTAGGTAAAAATGTTCCATATTACATAATCTGAGAATTTGGTCCCTCCTTCCTCACCAAATCATCCTATGCCCGATCAGGCACCTTTCTGCAAGAATGAATGAAAAAATCAAATAACTATATGGACCTCTGATCATAAGAGCAGAGATGTTGCCACTGGCCCTGAAAGATACTGTATTAGAACCTTGTGGGTGAATAAGCTTGACCTTTCAAACTCTGCTTGCCCATTGAGCCTCGTGGCCCTTGTTCCGTCTACTGTTAATTTAGCTAATTTGCAGCTCTCAGGATACATATCGTGAACCTCACAACCACAGATGTTTTTACAATTTTGGCAATCTACGCTAACTGCATTGTAAAATGTTAATTTTAATAGCAGTGACGGTAATTATGAAAGAAAGAAAATAAAAATGCAGAGACTGTTTACCCCTCGCTTTTGGCATATATCACCATAATCATTCTATATAGATTTATGACTCAGTCCACTGTTTGCAAATAACTCCTGAGCTTATGAAAAGAGTGTGAGAGGGAGATTACCTAATGTGGCTATGATAATAATAAATAAGCACTCCCTTAAGTTTTTTCCATTTGTTCCACATGACAAAGTATATGAACTGTGGAGTGCAGGTCCGTACTTAACAGCAAAAATGACAACAAAGATGAGCATTAAATTGGAAGAGAAGCAGTCTTCGGTAACACACAATCTGTCCAGTACAAGACTGTGCATCTGGATAGCAAGCATTGTTATTCCACACTAGGGTGTCCTTGGGCATGGCTGAAATATATTTTCTGTTTATTTCCAGAGATGTCTAATTAAATGTTATGGTCCGAGAAAAAGCTGTGCACGCAGCCACTGTTTCTCTACTGGATATTATCTCCCCCTCCCTCAAAGTTTTACGAGGTGTTAACTGTTTGCCCCTGCAGTCTGCAGTACAAGCATATCAACATTAAGGTATTCTGGCAAATTATGTAGAACAAGCAAGAAAATGCCTTTAATGGATGTAGGGTGTGGTGGCTTTATGTACATGCATTAAAGAAATATAAAACTTAAATTTATGGAAAACAATTTTAAAAAAGAGAGTAGTGCTAGCACAAGAAAGGGACTGGAAGCAAAGGTCATTTTCTAAAAGGGTCAGTGAGTGAAACCTGCCAGGGTCCAGGTAATATACTTCTGAATTTATCAATGAAATTTAATCTGGTAATTTCTGTGTTCTGTGGTGTTCTATGGTGCTAGCATATCATGAGATTTTAACCACTTCAGCTCCAGAAAGTTTTACCCCCTTCACGGCCAGGCCATTTTTTGCTATTTGGCATGGCACTATTTCAACTGGTAATTGCACTGTCATGTAACACTGTACCCAAACAAAATGCATATATTTTTACACACAAAAAGATATTTCTTTTGGTGGTATTTGATCACCACTGGGTTTTTTTTTGTGATCTGAGCGAAAAAAGACTGAACATTTTAGAAAAAAAATATATATTTTCTACTTTCTGTTATAAAAAATATCCAATAAACTCAAATTAAGTCATAAATTTAGGACAAAATGCATTTTGCTACATATCTTTGGTAAAAAAAATCCCAATAAGTGTATATTAATTAGTTTCTGTAAAAGTTATAGCGTCTGTACCACTATCCCCTCCCTCCTAGACTGTAAGCTCGAAAGAGCAGGGCTCTCGATCCCCTCATGTTTTGCATTGTATTGGTATTGTTCTGTCACATGTTCTGTCCCCCTTTGTAATGTACAGCGCTGAGCGAACCATTGGCGCTTTATAAATACTGTATAATAATAATAATGGTATATACTGTACTGAATATTGAAATTTACACAGCTTTTACTTTCTGACTGCCTATCATATTTCTTAAGGTGCTAAAATGCCAGGGCAGTACAACAACCCCTAAAATGACCTCTTTTTGGAAAAATTAACATACCAAGGAATTTGCTGAGAGGCATGTTGAGTCCATAGATTTTTTTTTTTTTTTTATTGGCACAAGTTTTTGGAAAATTAAATTTTTTTTTTACACAAAGTTATCAATTAAATGATATATTGCTCACAAATGCCATGGGTGTATGTGGAATAACACCCCAAAACACATTCTGCTACTTCTCCCTGGTATGGGGATACCACATGCGAGAGACTTTTTGGCAGTCTAGCCATGTACAGGCCCCCCAAAAGTAAATGACCACCTTCAGGCTTACAAAGGGCATATTTCCTCATGTCACTTCCTCTCTACCTATCACAGTTTCAGGGGCCCTAAAATGCCAGTATAGTACAACCCCCCCCCCCCACACACACACACATGACCCCTTTTTGGAAAGTAGACACGCCGAGGAATTTGAAAAAAGGCATGGTGAGTATTTTGCAGATATAATTGTTTGGTTTTGAAAGAGAAAAAAGAAAATAAAAATTTACTTTTTTCCAAAAACTTGTGGCAAAAAAATTAAATCTTGCATGCACTCAACAGGCCTCTCAGCAAATACCTTTGGGTATCTAAGGGGTTATTTGGGGGATGTTTGAACTGTCCTGGCATTTTATGCCCAACATTAGAAGCTTATGCCACACATCACTCACTCTTCTAACCACTTGAAGACCAAGCCTTTTTTGACACTTTTTGTTACATGAAAAAAACAGGCTTTTTTTTGGCTAGAAAATTATTTTAAACCACAAAACATTATATATTTTTTTTAAAGTAGAGGCCCTAAAGAATTAAACAGTTTTTAGTGCAATTTTTGTATGCCACACAATATTTACGCATCAATTCTTGAATTTTTTTAGGAAAAAATACACTTTTTTGAATTTTAATACAGAAAAAAACACAACATATAGCTCATTTGTTTGGTAAAATATAAAAGATGATGTTACACTGAGTAAATAGATACCAAACATGACATGCTTTAAAATTGCGTAGGCAACTGCAACGGACTAAATAGATTCACACAAGTAGAGAATTACTGCCCTTGGTCTGTCATTTGCAGTGATACCTCACATGCA